AGAAGGAGAAGGAGAAGGAGAAGGAGAAGGAGAAGGAGGAGAAGGAAAATGAGGAGAAGAAGGAGAAGAAAAAGGAGAAGAAGAAGGAGGAGTAGGCGTAACTTCCGAGAGTGTGTTAAGTCGACATTGACGCTACGAAGTATAACTACTGAAACAGAGGATTTCGGACAAGCTGCGTCCAATTAAGTCGCCCTTACCACAGGGCCATGTTTCGAGTACGAGCTCAACCAACTTCTATACATCGATAAGAGACTGCGACCATACCGAGGGTCACAGTCTATCTTTGTCTTCATATCTTCATACATACACTGCGAAATTTATGCTGGTTTCCATAACTTAGTTGCATTACACGCGAGGGAAGTTGGTGCGCAAAGTGGACGTGGATGTGGCCGGACAGTTGGTTTTTTTCTTGAGTCATCTATTATTTGGTTCAGCTATACTGCGTGTGCTCTTGTCTTTGGCTGTATGTGTGCTCTGTGTGTGTGTGTGTGTGTTCAATGCGAATGAGTCATTTGGGATTTTAGGCTCATAACTAGACTATAACTTAATCTACCCTCCTCCATCTACTCATCGGTTTGTGCTGGTTTCTCGCCCTAGTTCTATCCAAATGGTAGAAGAAGGTTTAATTCAATTTTGCCACTCGTTCCCTCTGCTCGGGATGTTAGTTGTTTTGTTAACTTTCAGTGGTTCGTCAACCTTTTGTCTCAACGACACAATCGCCGTCTCCTGCCAAACTCTGTTTTCGGACTAGTCTTCTCACACAAAATGAGGGTACTAATGACCTGGGCTCACACAGGGCTTCTTCAGAAGCCAGCTTTTCGGCAAATCTAAGGTTCCTCTTGCCGGTTTGAACCTTGTCGTGCAAAATCGGCTCAACTTCTCGGCTGTTGGTGACAGCCCAATTCGTGTCCTAACCAAGTATCTCCAAAATTCGCGACATTAGACACAAGGCACAAGACACAAGAGACAAGACAAAAAACACAAAACACAAAACACAAACACACTGGACACAAAACACGAGACACACGACTAAGGCCTATTTCGTGGCCCGGTGAAAAGACCAGAATTGTCTCCAACCGTGTGTAAGTCGTGCAAATCGATGCATCCCATACCAGCGCCACGGCTACTCTTCTGACAATTGAATTGGGTGTGGACCCGAGCTCGAGGCATGGTGAGTTGTCCTGCCTTGGCCAGCCGCGACCCCTTTCTTCACGCAGGCCATCTGCGACTCGAGCCCTCCGCCGAGGTCAACAGATGGCCTCAACCCGTCACAACCACCCATCCGCAGGGGGCTCCCGAGGGGCGGGACGCAAAGATGGGCGCGAAACACACGACTGTTGGTTCAAGTGAGTCCTGAGGTGCAGTGACAAGCGTGAGCAGGACTGTACAGTTGGCCGTTTCAATGAACCCACCGCAATCCTGTCACCAACTCATAAAACATTTCGACGTCTCCACCTTGTGCGTGTGCATATGTGTGTGAGTGTGTGTGTGTTCATGGGGTGTAGTTGTTGTGTCTGGGTGGTTTTCGTTGCCTGAATGTCTGTCTACATGTGGCATTGTATATGTTTGTTCATAGATCACCTTGAGCTGATCCAGAAGAGAAGAGTTTGCACTACCTTCACGGCATAATCGCCAAACAGACACACACAAACCCGTCGACGTGGGACGCCTCCAAGTTTCCTACACATCTCAGACCAATGTCCGCGCCGACAGACACTCAAATCCACTCAACAGAACACACCTGTCTCAAGAGTGTACACATTACCACGCATGTGGTACAGACAGACACGTCTAGACGGCCAAATCTACGCCGTAAATGTGCTCTTGTCACTGCGCTTGGTACACACCATCTTACACACGCTCCAGACTAATCGATTCCTACAAGTCGTTTGCATTAGAGATATCGTGTGACTAAGGTAACAGGAGCAGAGCCAATTGAGTTGAGACAGCACAGGGTCACGAGCGCAACTGTGCCACGGCCTGTATGCATATACGTTGCTGTGTGTATGTGTGTATGCGTGTCGGTTGGTACATGACTGTGAGTGGGCCATGGGCAAGGAAGGTGAAAACGAAGGCTTGAGGCAAGGGATCGCCAAGATTGAAAGGGTAGTCGACATTTTATATATGTAAGTATATATACATATATATAAATATAAATATATATATATATATATATATGTGTGTGTATATATGGATAAATACGTGTGTGCTCGTGGGTACGACGGGTTTTCTGAGAAGTCGTCAAGCCTACCCACACGTTCTGGCCCGGGCGTGGAGTGGACAGGCTCTTGTTCTGGTCGTCGAAACGCATCTGTTCAGGGATTCAGGTGACGCCCGTTCTTTGTAAACGTCTGAAGATGTCTGGATTTCTTCACGGTCGGAAGGGGTGTGTAAATCCTTCGCTTGATTTGATAATTATGCTGCAAGGGATCCCTAGTTCGACCTCACGCGAAGGTGAATTTTTGCAAGTGTCTGCTTTCATCATGCACCAGAGCCTCAGGATGGACTGAACAACGCAATGCCGCTGCTCACGAAGACGATAAAATAGAATATGTTGATGTGGCTCTGGTTGGTGGGACACGCTTATTTCGCATAATTTCAGGTCACAGACCCCAGAGCCGGTCAACAAAATGATGCAAGATCTGTCTTCATTCTAGGTCGCATGTGGTGATGAAGAACGGATAATTGAATTTTTCCACAATCATGTACGTAGGCCTAATGTTTCCGGTCAATTTCACATAGCCCTATGCAATATTGTGGCGCATAATGTCGACCGCCAAGAGTGCCCG